GCCATCGCTAGTAGGTTGGAGGCCATCGGTAATAGGTTGGAGGCCATTGCTAGTAGGTTGGAGGCCATCGCTAGTAGGTTAGACGCCAATGCAATGAGGATAGAATATGATAGAACCTCCAAACACTTCTGACAGATCCAACCCGAGCGCCGTCGCATGCTCGTCCTCGTGGATGATACCTTCCCCTTGAAAAACAAGGCCCACATCTTCCAGAATTCCGTCCATGAGACTCTCCTGACTCTTCTGGTCATCTCTCATCGTTTTCCATCACAAACTTGGCACTTCCTCACATTTTCTTAAAACTTCCTTGCGTTTCTGGTGACACCAAATGGAACAAAACTTGAACACAATACTACTGTGTTTTGTTTCCTTGTGCTGGGCAACGAAATCTGACTCGCCTTGTACCTACTACGTCGAAATGATATAGAACCAAATCAGTATCCCTATGATACCTGAGGTGTATGTTTGATAGATTTAACATATAAAGCACGGTTCCCAGTGTGTGTCACCCTTGTGACACGTTACCTCGCTGCTGGGGCTGTGGTCTAGCTCGTTGGCGGCAACCTCACAAAACAGTAACTCTTCTGCAATGTGCTCACTTTCCTTGAAGGCATGGTTTGCTGCCCCAAATGACACCACTTTGACCAATCTTGTCAACTTTCAACTCTGAACCCTCTTGTTTCAGTGAAGACATGGCGACATGGTCCTCTTTCCGAAGCAAACTCGGTGAAACCTATGGAGATCAGGGCGAGAAAGAAACAAAGTAAAGAAGTGCGCCAAATTGTTCGAAGAACAGCAGGAGGTATGTGCATGCGCAGGCACCCCATAAAAGAAAACACTTGTGACAAACACCTCAAAATTTTTAATTCCTACAGTATCTATTCCCACTGTTGCTCACCCCAAGTGGGCCTGGATGAGCAAAAAATGTCGTGTGCCCAGTGTTGTGGGCGACCATTCTACAGTTGCAGCAAGAGCAGTGAAGAAAGTGCTTGGCATAAAGTACGCCTTGTGCAAGTAGTGGAAACTGCAGTCGATACCTCCTCCCACCGAAGTAGTTCAGCTTCAAACATAACTTTGTGCGCAGGTCCAAGAAGAGTGGGCGCAATAGCAGGTGCTCAGAAGATCTCTTTCAAACGAGAGGAAACGCAACCTCAGGCCAGGCAATCGCGAAATGCGTCAATCCATCCAAAGTGTGTCACAATTAAGCCAAGCATCTGTTCAGCTGCTCAAAGATTGGCAGGCTTTGTAAAGCGTAGCCTCCTCATTTGGTTAGTGGTGGCGTTCGGATAATTGAGAACATGTTCTTATCATTTCTCCTTTGTTCAATTTTAATCGATCGCTTGACACCCCCAGCTTTGTCCAACAATCCCCCTTGACATGGACTCTTCGTTTTAGGTCACATGATGCATTTCCGAATTCTTTGTTCGCTCGCCTTAGAGCCTCTTCGTTGCGCAATCCTTTCGTTCAGGTCCTCGAATGATCCTTGTTGTATACCTTAAGGTGGCCCAAGGCATTCCATGACTCCCGCCTCTCTCGCAGCAAGTAGCCGCAGCTTTGTAGCTGCCAGCGTCTGGATCCACCTACATGTCCCGACATGAATCTGAAGGAACACTGCACTGTTGCAGTGCGTCAAAAGCGCTGGAATAGGTTTTTTCTGGAAAACGGGTTGTCACACATGGGGGTGACAGGGCGTGGACTGCAATGTTTTCTCACCTGTTTCATCATGCGCTGCAATAGCTGTAGGCCACTGATCGCTGCAGTCGGGGCTGTGCTGAGAGTGTTTAAAGCAGCATTGAAGCCTGAGCAATATGCGCGCTGTGCTGAGTACCGACTAATACTCGATTTGCGGAGTGCAAAGGTAGCAGCCAAGAGCGTAACAAATTTTCCTTGCTGAGCGAATGCTATTAGTGCGATCGCTTGATGTCAAGCAGCGGTTCAAGCCTTTGTGAAACCAAAAACTTGCACGAGAAACCACCTACAACACCAAACTGTACGGCTCACATTCTTGAGACCTTGAAAGAACATGTTTGTGTTGTAGGCCGAATTAGGCCTGGAGCTGCCACCCGCGGGGCCGCTGAGCTTGCGGCACCGTCGCTGCTGCTTTCGATAATTCTCTCAATGCTCCTCCAACTTTCAAGGTCGTCAGCGTGCTGGCGGCGGGCGCCATATGCTTGGTCGTCGAGATGGCGCCTTGGTCGACAGCGTGGTCCCCAGTCCTTCAGCCACGCCCATTTAAACTCTTGTCTAATATTGGAGCAATTGCTGTAGCACCAGCCGGCCATACATGCTCGATCCAAGCGCTCTTGTGCTCTTGGCCGCGCTGAACCCGCATGGGCTGACCTCATCGTTCAATCCTGGCGCAGGACCTTCTTCAGTTTGCGTGCCCGTAAGCTTCCTGCACGGCCGTTTGCACCGACGCCTGGCTTGGCACTAAATTTTTCTTCCGATCCATTGCTGCATGGCACAGCGTGGCGGAATTCCTCAACCTTCTTCTTCCGAACATGCGCCGGCGTGTCCTGGCCCTCAGGTTACCGTATCTTTCCTTCAACTTCCAGGAGGTCGCTTCTTCGATTCATCATCATCAGACCCATTCCCGACTGCGCATAAAAGTCAAGCTCTGTTGGGCTGGGTGAACTTTCTTGCACATCCCTTGGCCGGGGGCGCGGCCCTGTTTTCCTCCTCACTTCCTGGTGGGTCCTACGCTTTCATCATCATCCGCTCCAAAATCGTCAGATGGCACCTGCGCTCAGCATGCAGGCGTGTTTGAGGGTTGCGCAGCATGAATGTGCCTGGACGCTGCCCCAAAAAATCGTCAAAGCCTCAATGCGTTCATCCGCCCGTATCCAAGACTCCAAGACAAGAAGTGCCAGCCCCAATCGTCCTTCTTCCTGCGTTTCCCTCTCCATCAAGGTTCGAAAGCAAGTTCTTCGCACATCCTGAAAGCCGTGCGAAGCTTATCGCTTGTCCCGCTCTTTCAGGGTGCGCTTTCGCGCATACAGTCTGAATTGTCGAAGTAACTGCTAGTGATGGTGGCGATTGCGATGTCCCCTCCCTTCGGGGTAGCAGGTGTTCACCCACAACGGGCATACCTGCGCGTAGCTCTCCTGAAAGGACCATCCAAAAAGTACCAGTGGAAGTGAATCAAAGTGGTACGAAAACCCGAACAGCGAGCGAAAGACAAGACGGAGAGAAACCAATGTGGGGTGGTGACAGAGCACCCAGCCGATACAAGAAGGAGAGTAGTAACTTTTAGAAGACCCCTGTAGGAACAGACCAGCAGTCACCATCCTTGCGGGAGGGGAGAGGGTGAGCGCCAAACCACACCGTCAGCCCGGGCAAGAAAAACAACACAAAGACAGCGGAGATGTGTGGGAAGGGAGGAGGGAAAGGTCAAAAAGAATCAAGCGCGCGGGCAAAAACAAACAAAGGCAAGGGAAAGAGAGGGGCCCCCCTGGCAAGGTGTTTGAGCCAATCGAGCGAAAAGGTGTGTTTTTGGTGAAGTTCGGACACGGACACCGAATTGGAAGGGAGAGCTCCTCAATGGAGTGTTCATGATTCACGCGCATACGAACTCCGTCCTTCCCTGAGAAATAAGGATGACGTACACGGCAAGCGAACGGCGTGGCCCCAGCTTGGTGTAGGGGCATGTGTTGAGTGTACCCAGACTCTAGTTCAAATGACCTTGCGACAGTGGGGGCAATCCCAGGTCCGATCCCGATAGATACCCGTACGGTGTTTGCAGGGAACATGAGGAGAGAGAGAGAGAGAGAGAGAGCGCCTGTGGTAAAACCTTACGAGCCCAATCGCGAGAGGTTGGCCAAGTGGAGGCAGCTCCCTGTGGGGGTGTCAGCTCGGAAGGGGATCGAAAAAGGCCGCAGGACGCGCTTGCTTGCCGCGAAGACGTGTCCTTTTTGCTGCAGGCAGAGGAGGCGAGCGCTCAAGTGGGTCAGACCTGGGACTTAAGAAACATTTTTTGGGCGGTGCGCGCAGCATCCAGAAAGAATTGTATATCATTAGCTGGCGTGGTTCTCAAGCAGGTCAGCCATGACATCACTCGGATCGTAGTTGGTCCAAGCAACGCCAAAGCAAGGCCAACGAGTTCCTGCGCGGCCGTAGACAAGGTTGCAGGGATGACCGTCAGTGTTGAGGGAACGTTGCCAGGCAAAGAAAATTTGTTTTGAAGAGACGAAGATATCGACAGCGTTAGAAGCACGAGCTACATCTTGGACGGGGTGACAGGTGCACAATGGGTCGACCGGGGCGCATGAGCATTCCAAGTGGGTTAGCCAGAGGACTCAACTTCTCTCAATGGTGTCGCTGTCATCGGTGAGGCGTATGCTATTGCGATCGCTTGACGTCAAGCTGCGGTTCAAGTTGACAGTCAATTTTGCGTGCGTCCAAAGACATGAACGTGAAACCCCTGACAGCACCAAGCTGTATTGCTCCCACGATTCACGTCTTGCAGGGAATTGTTACAGGAGCTCTTGAGAGGGTATCACGATGCTATATTGCCATGTTGGCTTCCGATCGAGCTCCCAAAGTCGAAAGTATCTTGGTCTGAGTTAAACAGCTGAGTGGCTGATGGTGCTGGTCTGGATATTTGTCTGTCTCATTGTGTCCTTAGAGATTCGGAGTATCAGCGCCAACCACCAAGCTATTAGCCCAAGCAAGGTTCTGCTCTGTCTGTTCAACTTGTCCCCCGCCCAATGGCAAAGCTAAGTCTTCGCGATGGCCTATAGCGATGGCCTCCAACCTAGTAGCTTCTTGTTCCTAGTAGTATTGCCAGGAGCGCTCCTAGTAGCGTCCTTGCTCCTAGTAGCGATGCCGTTTGTTATTCGTAGCTTCTTGTTACTAGTAGTAGGGCCAGGAGCGCCCCTAGTAGCGATGGCCTCCATATTGCTGTGCGGTTCTTTCGAGTTGCCAGGAGGAGCAACACTTGGAACCATTCCGATGATGGACAGGCGCTCATTGCCTTAACCATGAGGGGCGTGGTCACCAAGCTTCGAACTAGTTGAGCTTAACGATCCAGATTCAACTTTTAATGCCGATCTTGGCAACAGTGCTTCATGCTCTTTCGCTTCTAAACACTGCCAAGCTACAGCTCTGAAACTGATCTCATCCTTGGAACAAGACTCACAAACACAGTCGCTGCATGTCGCGGAAACCTAGACTGCGACGGCCGAAGGGATGGACTGCCACTGTTGCACATTGTTGCACATTGTCACATGCGAGATGCTGCCGACAAGTCCGCCATCTGCATGTCCTGGATTGACTGAGTAACTAGTCGTGTTGGAAACGAAGTGATTTCCCTGAAGTCTCGATATCAAGTTGCTTTGCGTTTGGGACCGTTGCAAACGTTTTGTACCCAACGAAATGAGTGGCAACAAAGGGCAGCGGTTCGGGAATGGACCTTTCCCGCTCCCTGCTTGCATGGGATGGTGCTTTTTAAGAGAGAAACCTCGCAAGAAGGGAAGACACTAAGAAGACAAACATATAAAAAACGCAAAACACCATTGAAATAACAGGATGATCCAACAGCCCTACCTGTTTCTAGGTTTTGGATCGCAGACTCGCATGTATCACGCTTTGCCTGCAAGAGCTGGAAGGCCATTTGCCAATCTTTCGTCTTCTCGCATGCAGCGATAGCACAATTGAAGCCTTCGGTCAAAAGGCTTCGAGAATGAACAATAAAAAACAAAGAACAATCCTAGAAGCGATGGCCTCCAACCTAAGCCTATGTTTTGAACAAATCGACATCACGCTGTTTTCGAATCATATGCTGCAACATGTCAATGTCAATGTCACCGCAGCTTCTGCCCTCAGGCTGAGTAGAGCCAAGCCACTGATTTCATTTGCCAAACCTTCTTCACAAAGCCTCACAACTGACATTCATATGCAATCTTCGTGCCAGCCCGGCGATTTCTTTCTTTCTTGTGCATTTCTGTGGAAGCAACGATCGACGCTTGAAACTGAGAGTCCCGACCTGAAGGACACAGTGGTTCAAACTAACAGCAACCTAACAGCACTTCTAGTTACTAATAGTGTCCTTGCTCCTAGTAGTAAGGCCAGGAGCCCCTGGTAGCGCCCTTGCTCTTAGTAGTAAGGCCAGGAGCCCCTAGTAACTTCTTGCTCCTAGTAGTAAGGCCAGGAGCCCCTGGTAGCGCCCTTGCTCCTAGTAGTAAGGCCAGGAGCCCCTAGTAGCTTCTTGCTCCTAGTAGTAAGGCCAGGAGCCCCTAGTAGCGCCCTTGCTAGTAGTAAGGCCAGGAGCCCCTAGTAGCTTCTTGCTCCTAGTAGTAAGGCGAGGAGCCCCTGGTAGCGCCCTTGCTCCTAGTAGTAAGGCCAGGAGCCCCTAGTAGCTTCTTGCTCCTAGTAGTAAGGCCAGGAGCCCATGGTAGCGCCCTTGCTCCTAGTAGTAAGGCCAGGAGCCCCTAGTAGCTTCTTGCTCCTAGTAGTAAGGCCAGGAGCCCCTGGTAGCGCCCTTGCTCCTAGTAGTAAGGCCAGGAGCCCCTGGTAGCGCCCTTGCTCCTAGTAAGGCCAGGAGCCCCTAGTAGCTTCTTGCTCCTAGTACTAAGGCCAGGAGCCCCTGGTAGCGCCCTTGCTCCTAGTAGTAAGGCCAGGAGCCCCTGTTAGCGCCCTTGCTCCTAGTAGTAAGGCAAGGATGCCTAGTAGCGTCCTTGCTCCTAGTAGTAAGGCCAGGAGCCCCTAGTAGCTTTTTGCTCCTACTAATAAGGCCAGGAGCCCCTAGTAGCTTCTTGATCCTAGTAGTAAGGCCAGGATCCCCTAGTAGCGTGCTTGCTCCTAGTAAGGCCAGGAGCCCCTAGTAGCTTCTTGCTCCAGCAAGGCCAGGAGCCCCTAGTAGCTTCTTGCTCCTAGTAGTAGATGGCCCCCCAAACTACTAGCAATGGCCTCCAACTGTTCCTTCAACATGGAACCACTGGATCACCTCGTCTCATACAATGCACAGTTGAGACCAAGGTGCTGCTGGAGAAGGTGCAAGGCCGGAAGAAGCTGTCCACACCTAATTCTTGGCAGCTTGACACGGCGCTAGCAACGTTCCTTTTTAGCCCGCCCCCTCCCTACTTGATTAAGTATGCTCCTACTTAATGGAGAGACAGCTAGTAGCTTACTTCGCTTACTTAAGCTACAAGTAGTTCCCGGGCATGCCGGCGGCGGAAGTTTCCAAAAGAATAAGCCTATAGGAAATGGGCATGTGGCAGGCTGATTCGCCGAGCTGCGATGTTCTTTGACAAAACAAGTTGGAACCGACCAATGGAGCAAAAGCGAAGCAACCACCGTCAACTGTCTTGCTCTCCACTAAAGCCAGAGCATAGCTCTAGCTCTAGCTCCACTAAAGCTCACTGGAGCTAGGCGTTAACTATGATGTGATAGCTTGTCTGGACACGAAGCTAATTAGCTCAAATTTGTCAACCTCTCAAAACACATGTTTTGAGGTCTCCAGAAAGAACCACTTTTGAGTAAGCAAAGTAGCTAAAATTTGCCAACCTCTTAAGAGGGCCGGGTGGTCGGGAGACATGACTCAGCTGCAGGGCCCAAGGGCAGCCGCGAGAGATGACTCAGCCCCGTACTAAAGTTGTACTACAAAGTCGCCAGTTCTCATCTTCCAGCTCCCC